TGCCCTCCCTTCACCCCCTCCACCCTTCCCTATTTACAAAGACTTTGTTTCCATTTTTTCCTTTTCTCATATTTTTTCCTTTCCCTTCTTTCCTTTCCCCTATCCCTCCCACTTCACCTACCCCATAAGACCGTTTCTATCTGCAATAATCTTTTACCATAATGACATTGGTTTTAGAGGAAATATTTGCTCAGTTAGGATTCTCTGGCACCAAAATCCAAGAGCTGCCAGAGAGAAAGGCACAGAGTCAGAGAAGAGTGTCTGTGCCCCACCAAAACCTGTGCCTGGGCGTTCTGAGCACACAGGGCATTGTTGTGCCAGGCTCCCCTCCACAGCATGACCCATTCAGGCTGCACTGCATCCGGAGCAACAGCAAGCAGGTCCTGAAGGGTACAAAGCGGACACTCAAGTCACAAGTCTATCCAAAGAGAACAGGAGCCAAAATACCAGGCTGTAGATATGCCTGCTCTGATGGTCCAGTCCAGTTGTCACCCACTGGGCCACACCTATCCTGGAGTGTTGCTCCCTCTCGTGTGCAGCTTGGACCTTCAGATCTCACAGGACTCTGCTCATATGGACTCACCTGCCTTCTAAGCTCCTGCACCTGCTGGAGATGCGGATTGGGGCAACAGGACACAGTAAGTCTCAGGAAATCAAGTGTGTAAATTACCAAATGCCCATTTTCTTATCAGTACAATGGGTGTTCAAGACACTTCATAAGTTCTGTGATACTGAAATGATATGATGGACACTAGACCCTGCAGCACTGTGTGCGTCCACTTCCTATCTCTGAACCCTGAAGCCTGCATGTGTGATCCAAGACAGCCTGGCTACTGCTTGAGTAAATTAGTTAAACTAAAATTTATCATAGACTGATAAAGAAGAATTAAGATTAGAACAAGCAACAAACTCACACTTGCGTGTTGAACATCTCTAATCCAAAAACCTGAAATCTGAAATGCAGCAGACTTGGCCACTACACAGACTGTATTCAGAATCCTGCATCTTTCTCTTTTCACACAGTGTGAACTATCACAAAACTCTGCACTGTCTGTTTCTGTTTTTCTAGTTTCTTTGTTCACCTTTAAGATCTTATTTACCTGAAGAACCCTTGGACAAGGATGTGCAGTAGGAATCATGATGAGTAGGTCCCAAGGGCATGTGCTAAATGCCCTTCACCCCCTGCCTGTAGTGTCACCTCCTGGACCACCAGACTCCAGCAGACGTGCATGGGTCCCATGCTCTGTTCTTTCCTGTTGCTCTATTTTTCTACCATTGCACCAATGTTACACTAGTACCATTTCTACACTTTTGCAATAAATTCCCTTTTTGTAGTTCTAATTCAGCTACTCCCCTCAAAATGAGTTTCAACTATTTTTCTTTTTCAAACCTTTTTAGCCATGTATTACAAAAATATTTAAACATACACAGTAGATGGACTTGGATGGTGAGCTCTGTTCATCAGCAGTCACCATGTCCGCCCAACTTTGTTTGCTTCCCTAGATTCTTTTGAAGCTAGTTCCAGGCACTGTATTGTTTCGTCTCTGTGCATTTCTACACTTGATCTTAGCCAAAAGGTCAAGAAGCGATCATCTCTGAGCATTTCTTTCTTTCTTTCTTTCTTTTGGTACCAGGGATCGAACTCAGGACCTTGTGCTTGCAAGGCAGGCGCTGGAACCACTGAGTTAATCCTCGGCCCTCTGAGCATTTCATTAACTACTTCTCTATATATTTAGTTCCACCTATGCTCTGGGATCTATTTGGTAAAGTGCCTGTATGTCAGGAGGACCTTGATAGAACACTTGCTGAAGGTGAAGATTTGAAGAATTAACAAAATTGAATCTTTCCTGCCCATGAGGCTGGCATTTCTCTCCATTTATTCAATACTTCCTCTATGTCATCCCATTGGATATGTATCGATTTTTCCATAAAGATCTGCACATATTTCCAGATTTTGCTATAACTATGAATGCTATAGGTCTTACTGTACCCATGAAGAACATAATTGTAAAGTTTTTGCTGGTGTAAAGAAATGCTATAAATGTTATCTGCAATCTTGCTGAGTCCCCCTTTTTTGGTACTGGGAGTGAGCAATATCCTAGCCCTTTTAATTTTTTTTGTTGTTTGTTTGTTTGTTTGTTTTGACAGAGGGTGTCACTAAGTCGCCCTGGGCTGGGCTTGAACTTGTAATCCTCCAGCTTCAGCCTTGCACAATGGTGAGACTACAGGTATGCACCACCACATACAGATCTAAGCCAGTTTCTTTTTTTGTTTTTTTGTTTTGGTTTGGTTTTTGATACCAGGGATCCAACTTGAGACCTGGCACTTGTGAGGCAGGCAGCGGAACCCCTGAGCTAAATCCCCGGCCCTCTAAGGCTGTTTCTTAATTTTGAAAATCTCTAGACTCTTTTGATTTTATATGTATACAGTCATCTTGTGGGCAGGAAAACAACTGTTTTGCTCCATCCTTACAGATCTCATTATACTTTAATTTTCTATTTTACTGCAGTGGACTGGACCTCTGACTCATTGCTGATTGAGGGGAGTAACAGTTGCAGCATCATTTTGTCCTAAACTTCACAGGTGCTTACACCTCTGCCTTCCTGGCTAACTGTGTGGCTCTTCCAGTCTCTGCACTGGCCAAGCTGATTCTGATCCAGTTCTTGCCCATCTTTGGGAGGAGCCAGCTCTACTGAGCCCACAACATCCTTGGCTGTGCAGGAAGAGGGCAGAGAGAACACAGCCTGTTTTGCGCAGCCACCAGGGTAGCTCCCATTGTTGGTGTGACCCTCCCCAGACTTCTGTGTCCAGAGCACCCCTGAGCCGCTCAGTCCTTCCTGAGCAATAGGTCTTTCCTTCTCCCTGTACCTTGCCCCAGCAGGTTCTTAGCTCAAGCTGAACTACAATGAAAGTGGAGCTTTGGTTTTGGTTTTGTTTTTGCCTGGGTGCCCTCTGAGTAGGACAGGTATCTCATCTGCTCGTCTGTATGCACTTTGTCAGGACAAAGCCTGGTTGTGCGGTAGCCATGAATCCTCCATTAACCCAGTCTCCTGGGGTGAGATGTCCCAGGCAGAGCATCAGCATCAGGCCTGGTGCTGGGGCCCCTCCTCACATCCTACCGGGCCAGGCCTGCAGCATCTGAGTTGGAGGGTGCCAGCTTCTGCCCCCTGCCTGCCTGCCCACCTCTTCTGACCTCTACCCTGTTCTGTCAGGGCCAGAAATCTAGGGAACCAGAGGGTGTACCAGAAAGCTGGAACCTGCTGAGCTCACAGTTGCACCCCTCACCCTTGTGCCAGTGCAGAATTTGGGGTCTGCTTCCATCTACCTGTGAATGACGAGAGACCCCTGTAGCCCACTTTTTCATGTTATCACTGTGGGACATTTAAACAATTCATAATTCAGCAGCAGAGACATGAACCACCACCTAAGCAGTGAGTTTCCCAGTTAGAAAACAAGCGCTCAGAGAGAACATCTTTCAAGTAGAAGAATTGGTGGCTGGGCTGAAGCTTTCTCTCTTCCCTAGTAGGTTGACTGCCTGTCAATGATAACAGGCTAGCCTTCTCAACAGGAAGACGAATGGCTAAACCTCTTTTGGTGTTCTCTGTAAGTTGTTTCTTGAGCTCTGTCTCTAAATGGTGGCTCTCTAGTTTGGGTCAGCATTGTTACTCGGGAGTTAACAGCTGCTGTTTAGCACTCTTGCAGCTGACTCGTGCTGGAAAGAGCTAATTAGTGGTACATGCAGTGTCGTGTACACGTCTGACCTTCAACGCTGAGCTCTTTCCTAATTGCAGGTGTTTCTCCTTGTGCTTTTCAAGCAAAAATGGAGACAGAGTTGCCAGGGCCTTGCACCGCCCTGCAAAGTGCCCCGGTACCTGAGAGAGGGGAGAGAAAAAGTCAGCAGACACTGCCGCTCTCTGGACAGTTCACTTTCCCTGGAGCACTTAATAAGCCCACTTCTGAGCAGTAGATTTACCGTGGTGTCCACTGGATGTCATCTGGTAACAGGGAACCAGGACAACGTGATGCTGCACACCCAGCCCTGTCTCAAGCCCTGGGCCAAGTGCTGCAGCTAACTTAACTTTCACCATAACTGCAGGTGACTGCAATTCTGATCCCTATTTTTCAAAAGAGGATATTGTGACACAGTGGTCTCAACCACACAAGAGCCCAGATTTGAGTCTTGAGAGCCTGATGTTGGGCCTGTGAAGAGCATAGACAGGCAGAAGCCCCTGACCAAGTCTGGTCCTCATGGGCACTGAGCCTCAGCCAGCTGTTCCACCGTGACCGCTCACTGAGAGGATGTTCTTCTATATGGCTAGGTCTCCCATGGCTTGCCCCTTTCCACCTATCCCCATTGCCCAGCTTCACTCATTTGGTGACCACGCACTGGTCCCCCACATGCAGGAGGAAAGCAGGGAAAGTACAGAATTTTGACAGACACTTATCTAGTGTTTTCCAAGCACTGGTGCTGTACTGAAGTTCAACGTGAGACAAGACAGTTTCATTTCCCTATGGTGACTGCAAGCTAATCAGGAGAGCAAGCTGATCAAATCCCTTGGCCAATAAATAAAGGTCACCAAAACCAGAGAGCATATGAGCCAGGACTAGCTGCACCCTGTGATGGATGGAAGTGCAATGGCCACCTCTTGTACTGTAAAACAGTGTGCATTTCCAGGGCAACATACAGTAGCAGTAGCAGGGTCAAGCAGACAGTGGGCAGGAGGCAGAGAATGCTGTGGGTTCTCAAGGAGCCAGGTAAAACAGGCCCAGGGACCATTTATTCTCACAGGGACATTAACCTATTTGTGGATTGCAGGAAAGCACACCCAGGATGTCCTAATCCTAGTCCTAAAATCCATGACTGGGCTAGGTTATGGGAAAGGATGCTTGGCTTCAGGAATAAGCAGCCACCTTTGAGGCAGGAGCTCAAGTCCAAACCTGGAAAGCAGAGGAACAGAGGGGCCTAGCCCTGGTGGCCTTGAAAGCAGAAGGGGCTGGCAGACAAGGGCTGTGGGGCCTCTGGAAGCTGAAACAGGAAAGGGATGGATTCCTCTGCAGTGGAACACTGCCCAGCTGCCGCCATAATTTCACTGAGATAGACACAACTCAGTGCCCTGACACCCCGGACCTTCAGGTAACAGGCCGTGTAGTTAGAGCCATGAAGTTCACAGGCATTATTCGAGCCACCATAGGAAACTAATACGTCTCTTAAGTTTTCTTTTCTTTCTTGAATATTTTGCTTATCGTATGATTCGTGCATGAAACAACAGGTTTAACTATTAACAGGCAGCAGCTAACATTACCAATCCTCCAGACAGTTAAATCTGAGCACATGTCTCGAGTAATATCTAGCACGGTGTTTCATCCTTCAGTTTTACAAAACTGACAATTATAGCAACATAAAAAATGTACTACTGTTTTTCTCTAGGAATTTTGGGGAAGAAATGTAGGCTTTAGGGTTAGCATCTTATTTTATGTTTCTCCTTTTTATTTAAGATAAAACTTTCTCAAAATTGTCAAAACTACAGAGTCTGTTCAACATTTACATTTTGGACTTGAGAGGAGCTGGAGACCAGGCACTCGTGTTACTGTGAGGACATCAGAGCTCCAAGGTGCCCAGTACCACCCCTACCATTCCGTGAGGACCACAGAGCCCCAGGGACCCCACCCTGCTGCACCACAACAATCTGTGCTGGTTTGGCTACAGGGTCTGTTATCTAGGAACAGAATCTTACTATGGCTTTTGTACTGTAGTTTTTTATGAAACAACATTATGTTTTTTAAAATAGAGCCTAGGGGCTGGGGATTTAGCTCAGTGGTTCCGCCGCCTGCCTTGCAAGCACAAGGACCCGAGTTTGATCCCTGGTACCAAAAACAAAAAGCCCCCAATAAAATAGAGCCTAATTTCCAGAGAGTACAGTAAGTCCCCAACTTACAAATGAGTTTCATTCTAGGAGAACATTCACAAGTCAAATTTGTTCATAAGTCCAACAAACTGAGTCTTATACACCTTTGATACAAATATAAAATGTAAAGCATAAACACACATAAAAATGCAGTAAGTCCCTCAATGTAATGTACTACTGTACACTATTGCACTGTACACACTGTATATTACAGTAAGCATACAGCAGCACAACTGTGATCATGTCTTGCAGACACAAGAGCTACTTCCAAGATCTGTTCACATCTATGAGTGTTTGTGATGTGAGGTCCTTTCATATCTGTGAAAGTTAACAACTCAAATATTCAAAAGTCAGGGACTTACTGTATGAGATTAGTGCAGTGGGACAAGAACTCCTGCCTACTTAGCAAGATTGTGGCTTTGACGTCCACTGTCTAATGCTTGAGGCATCTCTATTGCATCAGCTCTGAGATGCTTGTGACAGTCACATAGTCCTTCATGTTCATAAACCAAGAAAGAAGGACACTTGCAATGAGGCTATCACAACCCATATAACTACAGATGTACTCTGACTCCAGAAATATTACGGGATGAAAACAATGTGTGTGCAAACCTTTGCAATATTGTTGTCTTCAGTAAAGCCAGAGGGAGCCAACAGTCTAGAAGCTGTGCCCAGGACAGGCTGGGAGGGCCAAGTGCAGGTGTCCATGCCGAGGTGATGTCCTTGTTTGTCGAGGAAACAGAATTTCATCAGATAGACTTCCTGAAGCACTACAGGAGAGTAGGAAGGCCTACATCGGTGCCTGCTGCTGACAGTTGCCAATAAGTCTGCAGGCTCCAGCCTGCACCTGGTCAGGATGGCCCTCCCTGTGGCTCCACATGGCTCCTTGTGGCGTCCCGATTGGCCAGGATGAAACTTGAATTTACCTCAAAACTTCTCATGAATGTGTACTCAATATAATTGTGCTCATGGTATTTGTTTACTGAAAAAGGACATAAAGGCAAAAAGGTATTAGTCGTTCAGTAATTTTCAAATATATTTTTATTTTATTCACCACTAAAGCATCTAAGTATATTGCAGATCAGAAGCCATGTGTAGGAGGCATTAACTTTCAGACCACGCTATTGGAAAAGCTCTAACACCCCACTACCTGTCTCCAAGGTTCTGAAGGCACAGCTGAGGACCAGTACAGTTCTCCATCAGCTGCAAGGCCACACTCCTAAGGAAGCCTTCGCAAGGTGACCATCACACCCCTGTGAAACCCTGCCCAGGTGACCCTTGACTCTGAGAGGTCCACCTCTCAGAGCTTCCACCAGGAGTGTCTGCACCATCTGGTAAAACCCTTCTGTTGCCTGTGAGTCTGTTCAGATACTTCCTGTTGTTCACTCTCATAATGGGCACCTCTCCCGCTGAAAGCACACATAGCTGAACCTAAGCAGATTCAACCAGTCTGCCATGGATCCTGAGAATCCCTTTGCAAGGAAGTTGTCACCCCAACTCACAGCCTAGGAGTCTAGTGTCTTTGTTAGTTTGCTGCCTCGGAGGACTGCCCCCTCAGGGAGATGGAAGGAAGACCAGGAGCAGAAGTTACCCGGCAGATGCCATTTCTTCACCTCTACAAAGGCTGCCTCACCTTATCTCACAGCCATCAGTGAATTAATCAACCAGAGAAGCTATTTTACAGTCATGGTGAGAGACTCCAAGATGCTGCCAATCGAGCCCTCTGGATGACCCTTTTCCTCCTTAAATCATCTTCTCTCATTTCCAGGGGTTGTTTGCCTTCCCTGGGGGTACCACATGACACCCAGATAAGGGGAAAGGCAGACACTGACTGATGGAGAGGTGCCCATGTTACCAGGTGGTTGTCACACCACTCTGGTCAGACAGGACATATGACGGATGCAGAGTGCCTGAAGAAAGGCTCTCTGCTCTCCTAAAGGAAGCATCAGGGAGGCAGAAGCTTATCCAGGTTCAGGAGGCCAACACGGTAAAGGTGGGCAGTGCCCAGTGACTGGTCCTGAGTGAGTGAGTGAGTGAGTCAGTAGGTCATGGCTCTCTTCCTTCTGCATCCATCCAGGCTACACCAAAGTACAGGCTCTCCAGCACCTGCCCCGCAGTCCCAGGGCAAGGAACCTCTGCATCACCCACCAGGAGTCTCCCTGTTTTCTGGTTGCTATCCTGACCCCAAAAGCACTCTGTGACCCTGTGTCAGCTTCCTGTGGCTGCTGTGACAAATCCTCACAAGCTTAGTGTCTAAGTCAGAAGTTCTCAAGTCAAGGTTCAGGGGGACAGCCCTTCTGGAGGTCTCAGGGAGGCGCCCACTTTCCTGGGCCCACAGCCCCTCCTTGTCTTGAAAGCCAGCAGCAAAGTGTCTTGTGATCACTGTCTCTCTCTGTCTTTCTTTCTCCTTTCCTCTCGCCGTACTTTGGCCCCACATTTTCTTCTCCAACCCTTCCCTGCCTGCCTCAGGTGAGGACTTTTGTGATTGTGGTGGATTCCCCTGGATACTCCAGAAAATTCTCACCTCAAACCCTAACTTAATTTCTGCAAATTCCTCTTGCCACTCAAGGGTCCCATGCATAGATCCAGACATGGGGATGCAACATCTCTGAGCCATCATCTGGCTGCCACACATCTGTCAAGCACCCCTTGCCCACTTGCCCTAGTTGGGCCTCATGCCTCCTGGGGATACAGCCAGCCCTCCAGCCCTCTCAGGTGCTGTGGTGAGGGGTGAAGTGGGACAGGCTGACCTCCTGTCACTGTCCACACCCTGCATGGAGGAGAACAGCTGCTCCTTTTTGGCTAGCCGCCATCCCCCACAGCCACAGCTCCCACCCAGCAGGGATTTGCTCTCCCTCGGAAGGACTTTAGTGTCCATATGGGCCACTGGCCCCGACCACTGCACCATCACAGCATCTTCCATGCCACATCAGTACTAGTGCAAACACTACCCTGTGTTCCCTGCTATCACCAGAAGCTGCTCAACCAAACTAGAAGTGGACATAATTCGAGCTCCCATCTCTGTTGCTGCCACCTCTCCATTTTCCTTTTCCCAGCATCCATCATGGTAGAGGCAGTCAGGCCAGCATCACATGTCCCTTTATTTGTGCTCCTTTCACAGCAGATAGTATAGACTCTTATCTGATATACTGTGCCTACCTGTATATCTCTACAGCTTTTATTTAAGCCCAGCTCAGAAAAAAGATTTCCTTGTCTGTACTTTTGCATGATGTTATCAGCAGACATTGGCAAATGCTATAAACAGTACACCCAGCCACTATTACATTCTCACATGGATGCCTGTGAAATTGCTCATTTCATGTCCCAGTATTGCTTAAAGATATATTTTAAAGAGCCAGGGATTTACCTCAGTGGCACGGAGCCTGCCTTGTAAGCATGAGGTCCTGAGTTCAATCCCTGGTACCAAATAAATAAAGAAATAAAGTGGAACGTCCTTCCAATTCAGAAAATTGCCTACTTTAAAAAAAAGATATATTTTTAAAATTTACATAAGACCAACATACCAAAAATCTGTTTGGTTGTCTTAAGAAATCCCCAGTGCTTTGACAGTGGACATGCAAATTATGAATTCATGGTTCAGTATTTTCCTTTCTGCTTTGGCTACCAAATAATCAAATTTGACTTTTCAGCAATAGTGTAGGAGGATATGCATATGTGTGTCTCTGTGTGAATGTATGTCTGTGTGTGTATACATGTACACGAGTGTGGTGGTTGCATGTGTGCACATACATGGTCCGATGTGCACTTGCACCTGGATGTTTGTGTCCAGTTTTTCCCTGACTTACTCTTAATCCATCAGTTATCCTTGGTCTTAACTCTTACATCTTCATATATTTGTTTCATTTTATTATTTATGTTCTTGGGTATAACTTAAAATGTTTTGAGGTATGATACATTATTAATAAGTACTCTATTGTCCTGTTTTTGCTTCATCCTTAAGTCTGTTTTCCTTTCTCTCCTCCATATGGAGCTTGTAGAATAGTGCAATTATAATAACCAAAAAAGGAGTAACTTCATTATCCCAATTTTATATATAAGAAAATGAGACTCAGAGAGGTGACAGCTATGACCAGATGGTCGAGTTAGCAGATTTCAGCTATATTTTAGAATTTCACACAGTGCTCTTTTCTTAGCCCAATAGCTGGAATTCCACCAAGCCAGTGTTCAGGGGAATATCTCTTTACTGTCCTGCCCCTAAAGAAGCAGCTTGGGGCTAGCATTTACATTGTAGTGTGTATGTAGTGTGTAACCAAAATAGACATAAGAGTTGATTCTCCATTAAGCTTGACTTACTCACATTGAGAATCTCTAGCAGGAAATAAAACAGCAGCAGTGAGATATACATTGTGTTTCATCTCTGGGTAACGGCAGATCTAGAGGTCCTTGTCCTTCATCCAGCCCTCCCCCACAAACCTTCCCAGAACAGGCAGAACCCCAGCCAAAGGGGAACAGCAGTCACCACCCCCAGGAGCTGCTGAGCTGAGCCTCAGACAGTTAGGGGCCACCATGATGAGACAGAAGAATGGGATGACAAAATAAGCCTCTGGGTATATTATCTATTACCCTTTGTAGCATGGTATGTTTAAGTACCATCATGAAATCTTGATAAAATCACAGAAGCAGAATGTTTGTGTGAAATGATAATTACCAAGAAAAAAACCCTCAATAAGCCCTCTAACCCTACTTGCTCTTAGTCAACTTAATAATCACTAACATTGGCGGTCACACAGGAAAACAATGTCTTATTCATTTCCCACTAGCTTTGTCTAGATAACAGCTCTGATGTGTGGATTATAACAGTGACCTAGGTTATTTCCCAGGGACTTGAGGGCTGTTTTCGCAGTAAATGCCAACTCTTTACTTGGCCTACAGATTCCTGATGGTGAGAATAATGGGATAAAAGGCTTGGCATCTCTGTTTTCATATTGTGTCTGTCCCCTTTGCTGTCTGAAGCCTTGGATCAGAGTCTACTCCTCTCTACACATAGATAAGTTGATCATTTAAAAAATGTTTTGTCTAACACTATAGTACAGGGCTAACTTGTCCTATTACCTGTTGGAGCTGGTATGTATTTTCTTTTGCTTCCTCTTTCCTGTTTTTCTGCGCCCTTCCTGTGCTTCAACAGCCCCAGCAGCCCAAGTACCTAAAGTCCTTGTGCCCTATCACACATCTCAGATCAAGAAGACCAGGATGTTTTGCACAAAACAATGTTGCCAACTACATGAAAATTCAACAGCCTCTAGGATGAGTTGACTTGATCACTTTATGCTACAAGTTTACCACAAAGGGCAACTTCTTTGGGGACTGTGCCCCTGGTCAACGGAAAATACCAAATTCAGCCCACCTCAGCAAATCCACAGACTCCTGCTTCCTGCTTCCTGCTTCCTGCTTCCTGTGTTCTGTGAGCAGGAGCTTGGTCACTCTCTTGACCGATTGCTGACTCCCTTCAGCCAGAGTCCCAGTCTCTGAAGCCCCCACCTCTCGTAAAGATTTTCCTGTGCAGGAGTATGTGTGCTCATGGCATTTGGCTCTATCTTATTTCTGCTGTGTCTGGGTCCAAAGATCCCATCTGTTATCACGCCCATCAGAGGCTCAACACACATGGTTAAACATCATTTGTGGGCTAGGTATTAGGATGCAGCTATGAAAAACAGGTCTATCCCTCGAGGGACTCAGGTCACAAAGGAAGATAGGCAATCCTCTCAACAGCAAAGGGAAATGACAGAAAGCAGAAAGGGAAGAAGTCAAGAAATTCACAGGAAGAATCTTGGCTTGTCCTTACAGTGATATATTCCAAAGAGGAAAAGTAGTATGGAAGTTAACAAGTGCAGGCTGGAATCCCACAAGAGTCAACATTCCTCACAATTGCCATTGTCCGAGTTGTAAAACTTTTTGTTCAATAATCATTTCTACCACAATTGAAATAAGAATAAACATCTCTCTTTGGTGATCCTGGCACTACACTGGAAGAACATATAAAGTGAACACAAAGTCCACAGCTCCAGTGGCCTCTGTTCCCTTCCCACCCAGTCCCATGTGTGTGCTGAGAGAACTGCCACTCCTTTCAGCCTCAGCCACCAAGGGTGGGGATGGCTGGGGACAGAGACTGGCCATGTGCCTGGCCTCACAATTGAACTTCCTGTGAATGCCTCAGCAGGCCAGCAAAGATGTACCTTAGCTCAGAGATCTCTCCAACTTCACAGTTCCAGCTTCACATCCAGCATGTCCACTCCCATCCACCCAAGAAGAAAGGTAACCAAACTGAATCTTAGATCCATCAGAGAACTTAGCTCACAGTGTAAACTGCTGCCCCAGAGCTGGATAGACAGGTAGTTGCAGAGTCACACGTGTGGGAGCATCCTCCTGGGGAACCAGGCAGGGCAGGGACAGCTAAACCAGAAGTGATCGAACTGGAGACCCAGTGGAGGAACCTGAGAACTCATAACCCCAGGAGCAGTCAAGGGGCCACACTGCGTTAACTCCCAGAGATCACCAGCTTCTCTGGGTGAATGGCAGAGAGAACCCCTGTGTGAGCCACTCTGAGAGGCCCCAGGGCACTGACCTCCCAGGGTATTACTCAGCACATCCTAATAAGCTGCTGCATTGTCAGAGTCTGGCCACTTAGGGAGAAAGAAATACCAACTCCAGCCCTTTCTAGTAGGGAGAGGGAGCGAAACTGAGACCCATCTGGGGCCACAGCCATGAGTGGGCACATCCTGACTGCATGCAGGATGGGGGACAGCTCACACCACATCCTGGGGATACTGGGGAGAGACCAGCACCACTCGGACTCCAAGGGACTGAATTGCCTATCTTGAGGGCATAGAGACCTCTCTTTTAATTCTAGATTAAATTGTTAGATACATATTTAACACAACATCCTGTGAGAGCCCTGGAAAGACCCAAAGTTCATAGGCAAACTCATTCAGCCTCTACTCATTCAGCACAGGGAAGTGTCACTGGCTCTGTCCAGAATTCCTGGCTTATCAGAAAGCCTTAGCATGGGCCTCCACCTTCCTGAATCCACCACACACCCTCTTGAGTCCCTGCTGCCCCGGACCACACAGACTGTTCTCACTGTGCCAGCTTTGCCCTCAGGGCCTCTAGTAGCCCTTCCCTGAACTACCTTCAGTTGGATGTCCTGTCAGTTTACTCCTAGGACTGCTACACCTGAAAAGGGAGTGAAGAGCCAAGTGTATGAACAGTCCTTTTTCCATTCTCTTTGGTGAAATAAATGGGCTCAACAGCTGCGCAGCTGTTTAAAAGAGCATTTGGTTGCTGAACCAACACTGCCGTCCCTATAACAAAACCACTTTCTACATCCTGCTAGATCTGACTTCTAATCGTTTGTTCTGTTAAGCAAATTTCTATCTATGTTCATACTTTTTTCTTCTATGATCTTTATCCAGTTTTAGGATTAGCACAATGTTGATTTCCTAAAATGTGGGGAAAAGTGTTCTTTTTTTTTTCTGCTTTAAATGTTTGATATAATTTATCAGTTAAAATGTATATGAGCCTGCTGTTGTCATATAGGTAGGTTTTCAAGCTAGGAATATGCTTTAATAGGTGCTATTCAAATTTTGTATTTCCTCCAGAGTTAGTTTCATTAATCTGTCTTCCAAGGTACTTCTTAGAAGTTGTCAAATTTATTTCAAAACAGATTTTTGAAATATGCTTTCTATATCCTTTTAAATTCTGTAAAATCTGTGGTAATGTCTCCTAGATCTTGATATTGTAATTTTAAAATGTATAATTGACATTGTGTAGTAGGATGTAAAGGTCTAAAGGAGCAGGGAAAGTGGGAGGGGTAGGGGAAAGGAAAGAAGGGAAAAGAAAAAATATGAGAAAAGGAAAAAAATGGAAACAAAATCTTTGCAAATAGGGGAGGGTTGAGGGGGTGAAGGGAGGGCAGGGGAAGGGGACAAAATAAGAACCAAGATACTCATGTAAAGGTACAAGATCCCAATGATGAATGTAACTGTATTGTATACCTAAAATGGACCAATAAACTTAAGGGGGGGGAAGGAAAAAGGAAAGAGCATTTGGTGCCCTGTGTCTTCATCTGTTAGGACTGATACATATGGAAAATCTCCTTGAGATTTCTGAATCTTCTGAAGGGATGTCAAAGCCACAGGATGCAACAACTGGATCCCCAGGCAATCAGAGGTGCACAAAGAACTTGGATTTTCCATACTTCCAGCCTCACTATGCTGTAGAGTGCTGTTTTCCTTGCCTTTCCTTTCATGTTTTTCCAGTTTGTGAAGCAAGGCACTTTCAGACATACTCTGTCCATTTTTTTTGTTTTCACCTTGAAATGGTTGTTGGAAGCTGACTTTGGGTCAGGCATCCAGGCAGAGCTGGCACTTGGTTTGCCTCGGAGTGGCTCCCATGTCATTTGTAGTATCTGCTGGAAGTGCTTTTGTTTGCACTTGGAAACCAACACTGATGACAGGAGTCAAGCAAATAAGTTCTGCGCACACAGTATTGGCACCACAGAGTCCAAGCATTCTGACTTTGTTCTTGGGTACAAGTCTTGGCACCCTACCAGGCCAGGCTATAGGACTTGCCACTGGGGGCAACAGGGCTTTGCTCATCCTAAACCTCATTCTTTCTGTAAATGTTTATGGCACATTGCTGCCAGCCAGCCTCTCTGCTAGCTACCCAGGAGAGTCAGATTAAAGAATATGCTTTAGTGCTGTCCTCAGGGAGGCTGCAGCCCTAGCTGTAGACTGGGTTGCACTGACAGAGTCGGCTGTGGGAGGACCTAGACACCTACTCCTCCAGCCCTATCGGACTAGGCTGGGAGAACGGAGCGGGACTCATCTTGGACAGGCTCTCAGTCCCACGGAGCCACTGAGCTCTCTCATTTGTTCTACATATTAATTGAAAGCTCTGTCATTGGAACAGAGCTTGCAGGCTTAAACAAACAGGAAAGTGGACACCAGAATGAACTGTTCTCACCTCAACTTTCCCCTCAGGAGGCAAAGCCTTGGCATAACCCTGCACAGACATTGCTATGTAATTCTCTTCCTGTCCTAGGATAATAGAAGGTAAAGCAAGAAAGCACTTCACTCTTTCTAGCAGGAATCACAGTAAATCCGTGTTTCCTTCCTATAAATACCCTTTTAAAATATGGTAGCTCTAACAGGAATTATGGACAGCACGATTGTCCTTCAGTCAAAGGAGAAGTAGCTGTACAAAGTATGCTATTTATTTTCTTCTCAAGATTTTTCCTAAGAATACCTGCCTTTTCCTAAGGGCTCTGAAAGTGTCTGGCTCATAAATCTAGCACAATATTTTCTTTTTTTTAAAATTAATTTATTTTTTTATTAAAT